TCAATTCGGAAGAGAGAGAGCAAATCGATGGGGAGAGAGCAACCAAATCAGAAGAGAGAGAGAGCAAATTGATGGGGAGAGAGAGCAAATCGGCGGCGGCAGAGACAAAGTTCAAATTGGAAGAGAGAGAGAGAGCAAACGGAGGGAGAGAGCAAACGAAGGAGAGAGAGAGCGCAAATGTCGGATGAGAGAGAATGAAAAATATCGGAGGAGAGAGAAGAAAACTGATAATGAGGAGAGAGAAATCGACACTGCTTTTTAGGAGGGAAATTATTATTTTTATTAATTTTAATTTTATTTGTTTTATAACATAAGGGTATAATGGAAATTGTACATATGGGAAGGATATATCTGAAGGAGGTATTTTTTTTTCTGAGGGAAGGATACTCCATGAAGTACAAGTAGCATTTTAAGGGCATTTTTGATAATGCCCCCCTTAAACTCATACATCAGTGGCCTTGTTGCCGCTCAGGTGCTTATCTTGTGGATTCCCTCCGAAATTCGGATTCCGGAGCAACCCAAATCGCCGACAATCCACATCCGATCTGGCAACCGGAGGAAGAAAACGAAGACGGTCGAATCAAACATCGATATCCTCTCCTCGACATCGCCGAGATCGCATTACTCTGCTCCAGATTCTGGAAGATCATCTACAGGACGAAGCAGCTATTTCTGGCGCGTACGATGCAAGCGCTGGTCGGCGGATTCGGCCTCGCCAGCGTCTACGTGAAACTCCGGCGAGACGAAGCAAGAGTAGCGGAGAGACTTGGCCTCTTTGCCTTCAGCCTGAGCTTCCTCCTCTCCTCAACAGTCGAAGCACTCCCGATCTACCTCCACGAACGCCGAATCGTGATGAAGGATTCCTCAGTCGGATGCTACCGGATCTCATCATACATAATCGCAAACACAATCGCATTCACGCCATTCCTCTTCGTCGTCTCCCTCCTCTTCTCCATCCCCGTATACTGGATCGTAGGCCTGAACCCATCGATCCAAGCGTTCGGGTTCTTCATCCTGGTCGTGTAGCTCATCGTCCAAATGGCGAGCTCTCTGGTACTCTTCCTAAGCGCAGTATCGTCGGATTTCATCTCCGGGAACTCCCTGATCTGCACAGTTCTGGAAGCGTTCTTCCTGTTCTCAGGGTACTTCATACCGAAGGAGAGCATCCTGAAGCCATGGATGTTCATGTACTACGTGTCGTTGTACAGGTACCCGCTGGACACGATGGTGGTGAACGAGTACTGGAGCTTGAGAGGGGAGTGCTTCTCATGGCGAGGGGACGCTCCGTCGCAGCAGACGTGCGAGATGACGGGAGAGGAGGTGTTGAGGAGTAGGGGATTAGAAAGGGACACGAGGTGGATGAACGTAGGGATCATGTTTGGATTCTTCTTCTTCTATCGTCTCCTTTGTTGGGCCATTCTCCTTCGAAAGTCCTCCAAATCTGTTTCCTCCTGATGTGTATGCATATGCTATGCCAAATGCATATACATACACATATATAAAATAATTATATTAAGAAAAATATCAAAAAAATTATCGAATTTTGAGATCAATGTTATATTTGAAATCTACCAAAAATAAATATGAATTGATCGATTTGATAAAAAAATTCTAAACTTTAATTTTTTTTTAAAAAACTGATGGATATTAAATACTCACTCTTTATTTGTACCTTTCACATCACTCCTATTTTCATCCTTACCTAAAATATAATAGAATTATCAACTTTCACCTAATTCATTCTCAAACCACATCGTTTAAGAATTCTATATCTGATACCATTTGTAATGTGACACCCATATCCCGATTCCCGTCGCAGGATGTGCCACATGGACGAAAAACAAATAAAATAATGCAAACCAAAAATACGGGAATTTTAAAACTTTTTAATGTCAAACACGCAGCGGAAATTAAATAACATTTAAGTCTTAAAACACACATGTCCGAATTAAAAAGGTACAATCGTACAAACATGATAATCGTTTTCCATTGCTCAAATTATTCAGTGAAAGCAAACCCCGTACACGATGTTGTCTCTTGAAGTCTTCGTCGCTCCAAACGTGCTACTCGTGCTCCTCGTGATCTGAAAAAGGTGAAACCACGAGGGCTAAGCACAACTGTTCAGTGAATAACCCGGGTTGGATCCGGTAAACCCGTTCCCAGCGAGAACGGTATTAAAACGATAAAACACAAAATATAATATTCAATATTCAACACACATACATATCATATTAAAACATCATCGTATCAATTCCCGTATGGCTTCACACCATCGGGTCAACCGTAAACCCTGGTCACTTCTCATGACTAGGAGCGCCTCTCACGCCCGTCACATCTCGTGACGTTGGCCGTCGCTTCTCATGACAATCAAGTATGTATGGTTTCACACCATAGAATTAGCCATAAACCCTAGTCACATCGCATGACTAGGAGCGCCTCTCACGCCCGTCACATCTCATGACGTTGGTCGTTGCTTCGCGCAACAATCAAGTCCCGTATGGCTTCGCACCATAGGGTTAGCCGTAAACTCTAGTCACATCGAATGACTAGGAGCGCCTCTCACGCCTGTCACATCTCATGACGTTGACCGTTGCTTCGCGCAACAATCAAATCCCGTATGGCATCGCACCATAGGGTTAGCCGTAAACCCTTAGTCACATCGCATGACTAGGAGCGCCTCTCAAGCCCGTCACATCTCATGACGTTGGCCGTTGCTTCATGCAACATTCAATGCGCTTCGCGCGCACGTCACTTTTCGTGACCCATCGGAGAATAAAACTCAAACAACATACAACGATTCTCTCGGTATGTATCGCACATCTCACCATGCATTCAATTTATTAATTTCTTCCAATTCTTTCCTTTTTTTTTCATTTTTGTCATGTTTCAACTCGTTCTTCACATAGTTTAGTCGATTCCTAGGTTTATATTTCATCCCGAGGTCTTTTTGGTTCAATTTCATCACTTTCTAGTCTGGACCGGTCGGTCCGGGCGTTCCCGGGGTCTAGACCGATCGTTCCTGGTCATTTCGGGCATTTTCGGTGTTTTCTGGGTCTGGACCGGTCGGTCCAGACTTTCCTGGGGTCTAGACCGGTCGGTCTAGGCAATTTCGGACCGTTCCGGCATTTTCAGGGTCTGGACCGGTCGGTCCAGAGCTCAGAGATAGATCGGATTTCGCGATTTCATCCCAGATTCTGGTCCGACTTCGTTGGCTCATAACTCACTCATTTTTCGTCCAAATCGAGTGCCGTTTGTTTCTAAATGCTCCTTGAAATGTCGTAGTTTTATTCCAACTAACAATTTATTCAATTATTACACCTATTTTCTGGGTAATGGCCCGAAAGTTTCGGACTCAGCATGCTTCTGCGTTTTTCTCTGCAATTTTACAGTTTTTCTCCGATTTTCAACTTTTCATATCTTGCTCGTTTCTTCACCAAATCGAGTGTGTTTGTTTCTATGTATTCATTGCAACTTCCACTGTCTAATCATACCCAGGTTTCATCGAATTAACACCATAACAACGATTAAAATGAGTTCACACAGAGGCAACTCGAGCCACTCACCTTGCTCAGATTCGGATCTGAGTTTTGGCCGGATTCGTTGCCGTTTTCCGGCGACTCTGGCGATGGTGCCCTTCCTAGACCTCCTGAGGCTAGTCCTCTTTGCTCCCACGAGCTTCTTTCCTCTTCTCTCTCTCTCTTCCTCTCTTTCTTCTTCTTCCTTTAGTTTTTCTGCTGCAATTTCTATGGCTCCAGATGGTTTTTGGAGCAGGATTGGATCCGTTTTTAGAGAGATTCAGAGGCATAGGGTCGAGTAGGGTCGTTTAGGGAGCTTAGTGCTCAATTATGGGTGATTAGGTCGGGTTTTTGTCGTCTGTAGGCCCCTAATCTCACTCCAATCACGCGTCCAAAAGTGCCAGTTCGGCTGATATTTTCTCTCGCCTGGACCGGTCGGTTTGGGCCTGGACCGATCGGTCCAAACTCTTTTTTTTTTGTGCCGATCGGTCTCGCGATCGTCTAAACCGGTCGGTCTACATGCTAGACCGATCGGTCTAGACACATTTTTCTCTTTTCTCTTGTCGTTTCCACGTCTCATTCGTTCGGGGTGGTTTCCGGGCCTTTTTTCCAACACTTTGTGATCCCTTTCTTAAGGTTTAGTACCCGTTTATTTAATTGTTCTTCTCCGAATTTAATTAAATATCCCAAATTGGATTCGGGTTATTACATGTAATATCCTGAACGTAACAAAACGGTGAAATTATATAACACAAAATATTTCATCATATTTTATCCTCACACACACATCTCAAAAAATATTCTTTCACTTACATTAACACTATTCCCTATTGGTACATTTAATTTTGGAGCCTTTCGACATAAAATATAGATGATATAAATAGTTCAATCAATTCATTTACGTTATTTTGAACTATATAGTCTCGTACCATACATCACTCCATTCCTCTTATTCCGATAAATTCGATTTGTTCCCATATCCTTTATACCTAAAAAAACTTTCTAAAAATAACTCGTTATCTATATCCTTTGGCACAACACCGATAATCATTCTCCACACTCAAGACGTCATATATATATATATGCAAAGTATATATACTTTTTTAGTTTTTATTATTTTTATTAGTTTTAAAATTTTTATCCTAACGATGTAACAGAATAACTGATTTGACAATGTGTGAATGCTACATCGGTTTTGTATCTTTTTTTATAAACACCATCAGTATCGTTACTGAAACAGAAATCTATTAGTTAATAATTGAGAGCAATTATATGTTTATTTGATTAGAAAAAAAATGATTTATTCATTGTCCAGAAAAAGAAAAAGCACAAAACCCAACTTATAAACAAAAAAATCCAAATCCCTTGTTACCCAACCAAACCGTCTAACTTCAATTTATCACAAATACAATGGCCGCCTTCTATCCATCTAAACAAAATCCCATGGATTCAACACCATAATGACCATACCATATGATACTAGGACATAGAGAGACGGAGTTCCAACCTAATCATGACTTCCCTCACTGTCTGCCTTTGCAATCCGTCATATTACTATGATCCCAATGGCTTCGAGATCACCATAACACCACCACGAACAAAAGATTAGATACCTGCAAAAGCATATCCACACAGAGAGTGAGGGAGGGGTTTGTTTATGTTATACCCACAGAGAGAGAGAGAGGGAGCGGTTTTTTGTGGCTTTTGGCTTTACCAGCTATAGCTAAAGTCAATAAAAAGCTCATTTTTAATTTCATCAAAGGAAAGAGTTAAACGTAAACTTTTTTTTGGTTCTTTTCGGTTTTAAAAACTAAAATATTAAAATCCAAAAATTCATTCCATTTAAGAACTAAAGTCAGTTCTTACCGTGTTACTCTCTCTTTACTGATCTCACACAAAGTAACGACCTGGCCAGCAGGGTTGTCCTTGATCCTGCCCACGGAGCTGATCTGATTGCTGGTTTCCATTCAAATGTTGTTGTTGTTGATACTGCTGATAAGTCTGCTATCCTTTCTGGATATCCACTTGGACCTACGCCTGTGATGTTGGAACTTGTTTTTTAGGGAAGGGGAAGTTAGCAGTCCCATTCAGGCCATTGCTGGTACTCAATATATTCGGTCTTCCCAGGAGAAGGGTGATTCAAAGTATTACTGAGTCCAACACCTCGTGCAGATTGAGGTTGATATCCGTCCAAACAGCTATAATCATCAACCAGCGGATTACTGCCAGACAGATCCGAACTAGAAATAAACTCCTTAGCCACCTTAGAAGGGACCTGGTTAAACCCAGGCGTAGGCTCAAGATGCCTAATGGGTCTACTGATTGGACTTTTTCTTGTTAGTGATGTCTGAACGCCCCATGACATTGGCAATAAGCCCAGAAGATGAAACATCATCGACTTTGGGTGACAACACAGCTTCAGGCAGCCGTGACGGAGGATATGGCACACTACCTATACAATTAACATTGAAGGACTGTCGGATCGGGAATGAATGCCCAGAATAATAGAAAATTCCATGATTTCCTTGCATCTCATTTTTCATAACATGGCCATTACCCGTTAGATTTAACCCCGTTAAGCTACCGGCAAGGGAAGCAACTTCTTCTGGTAGCCACTCGCAAGCCTGTAACTGGGCTGGTGGAAGGTGAGTATTCTGTGATTGGGTAGGTTGAAGGTGAACAACCTGAGATTGCGCAGGTTGTTGTTGCATCGCTTGAGTTTGACACAGTTGAAGATGCAGAACCTGTGATTGAGTAGGTTGAACATGTCCTGGAAGGTTAGAACCAACGACAGATACAGGTAACTGGAAACTCGTGCTGGCAGTGGCTTGTAACAAGAGATTTTCACGAGAAGCTGAGCGAGAATCACCCAAAGATTTTATAAATTAGGGTTTAATAATGACGATAAATGATTGTAATATTAAATCAAATTTTGAGTTTACGGAGCTTTTGTGATATCCCCAACTACGATGAGGATTGAGAGTGTTCGCCGGTGCGATGGCACGATCAAAGTGTGACTCCCCGAGTATCACTAATCACTAAGGTCAAAGAGATACAATAATGAATCGAATGCACCCGAATGAGAGAGATCCGAGGGCTATATAGGTATGTGACTATATGGTCTGAGATAACATAAAAGAATTAGTTGGGTTACTCATATCAACAAGGTGCACCTATATTTTCGGTTAACTTTATTGTTTTTAATACGCTATTTCGCACCTCTTTTTTATTCAAACAAGATTTCTTTTAAAATTCTAGTTCAATCAAACCCTAGAAACTGAAGATTAAAAAACAAAAAACTAATCACATATTCATAAACAAGTGTAATAAAAAGAGAGTTCTTATATTTCCAGAAAAGGAAGAAGTTGTTTTCTTCGATCTCGTGTGTCCTTTTCTTGCGATCGTTTTAGAAGAGGACGTCTTCTTCCCACTTGAAGCCTCTGCTGGAGCAGAATCTGAATCTTCTCAATCGACGACGAATTCCTTCCCATTTTGTTACTCTCTAACGATTTCGATTGAATTAATTCAATTGGATTTTGATAATTTTTCGTAACACCAATCGTCACACTCTTCCCGTACACGATGTTGTCTCTTGAAGTCTTCGTCGCTCCAGTGAAAATGAGAGTGAAAATAAAATCCCTTTGTTAAAAAAAGATACACACGACTTCTTTTCATTAAGGATATTGATGTCTAATCAATCTTTTGTAAGGCTATAGTAGACTTTTGATAAATTGTTATATTTTTTAGGTGTATTAGAGAAAAGAACTACTTTTTGATATATTTGACTGATTTATTCTAGAGATGTCAATTGGATTGAGTTAAATGGGTTAATCCTATCCAACCCAATAAAAAGTGTGTTTTGGTTAATTATTTGTGTTACCTTAATTAATTGGGTTTAATAGGTTTAAACCATTAAGATTATAGATTAAATGGATAAACCCAATTAAATTTATGTGATTATAAATTGATATCTTTTCTCATTCTTTGATAAAATCAAATCAAAATTGAATTATTTAAAACAAATAATATATAACTAAATTCAATATAAAATTAAATATAAAAGATTTAATTAAAAATAAAAATCGAACTCGAATCAAATATAAAAATATCGAAAACTCGAGAATTATTTTAAAAATAAAAATTTATAAAAAAAAAATCGATTTTAAATTAAACCGGATTGATTCAAATCAAATGTGAATCAAAACCAATCGAATTTGAATTGTAATGAATCGATCCGAATTGATCAAGTTTGAATTGAGAAAAATTGGCATGAATAGTATGTGAATCGAAACGAATTGAATTTTAATCGATCTAAATCAAAACGAATTGACCTGAATTGAAACGAATCGAATGAATCGGAATGACAAATGAAATCAAATTGTTTGGGTACTTAAAAGTTTATAGATAGTTATTGAGATTTAATAAGTTTTGACAGATTTTATTAAATTATTTGGATATTTAAAATTTTATTTAATTTTATTTTTAAAAGAAAAATAAATTGAAAACATAGATTTATTTTTTTTAATTATTACGATTTATTTTTTATAATTTTAATTTACTTGGATTTTTTTTCATAAAATATCATTAATATCTATCACTAATTGTTTAATTATAATTGGTTGAGTGGATTTATTAGGTTTATTTGTTAAAGGGATAATTCCATTTAAAACCCTGTACTTTTCTCTCGTCGCAATTTAAACCCTGTATTTTTTTTTTATCCAAAAAAACATTGTACTTTTAAAAATTGGCAATTAAAACTCTATACTTTTAAAAATTGGCAAATAAAACCCTGAACGAAAAAATATATTATTTAATGCTGACATGACATTCTAGTCATCTGCCACATCATCAATCCCTAATATTTAATAATATTAATTAATATAAAATAAAAATAAAATAATAAAAATAAAAATTAAATTTTAAAAATTATACACATACATATATAATGAAATGATATACATATATACATATATATAAACATATTTATATATATACACACATATATATAATACATATATATATATATATATATATGTTTTATATGTATATGTGGTATATGTATTTTTTTTTCTAAAAATCATGCATATGTCACATATATATATGATTTTTAGAAAAGTATGTATATATCACACATACATATAAAACATATTTATATATATATATGTATGTATTATATAGATATATATATAAATATGTTTTATGTATGTGTGATATATGATTTTTTTTCCTAAAAATCATATATATATATATAATGTTTTTTAGGGAAAAATACATATATAACACATACATATAAAACATATAATAATTATACACATATATAGATATATATGTATCATATGTATATATATGTATATATGTATATATAAATATATTTATATATGTATATAATTTTAAAATTTTTATAAACATGTTTATATATGTGTATAATTTTATGAATATATATAATTTTTAAAATTTTATTTTTATTTTTATTATTTTATTTTTATTTTATATTAATTAATATTATTAAATATTAGGGATTGATGATGTGGCAGATGATTAGGATGTCATGTCAGCATTAAATAATATTGTTTTTCGTTCAGGGTTTTATTTGCTAATTTTTAAAAGTATAGAGTTTTAATTGTCAATTTTTAAAAGTACAATGTTTTTTTGGATCAAAAAAAAGTACAGGGTTTAAATTGAGACGAGAGAAAAGTACAGGATTTTAAATGGAATTATCCCTTTGTTAAATATCATTAAATTTTTTGTGTTTTTTTTGTTGGGCGGTGTTAATCAATCCAGCAAGTCATAAAACCAAATGGTTAAATGGGATGAGTTGTCAAAATTGACAACTCTAATTTATCCAATAGGATGAGGCAGACCCTAAAATAGCCTAAGCCTATGAACGATGTTTCTCACCTATATAATATTCCCCAAATGCTCTCATCTCCCTAATCACCACCAAACATAAACATCGTATGATAAGATGGCGAAACTCGAACAGAACGAACATTCTGGAAAGAGATCTTCGAGAACTCGGCTCCAAACCACACGGAGCAACAGCAAAAGCACTATACTGAGTTAAAAATCAACTCATACAGATATCCGATTACATGAAAAGCTCAGATACCCGATCTGTGCCCACTTCTTACTCGTGTTTTTATGGTTAGGATATGTTTTTTTTGTCATCAGAACCGTAAGAACGCTTAGAACCGACACTTCACACAAGCCATATTCTTCAGTGCTCGTTAGAGTTTCGGACAGGACAGGAATCAGCATAGCAAGTTCAGATATGAAGTTATAAATTTATTTTACATGACACTCTCCTTGTCCTTGGTGAGTACTAGTTATAGACAAGATAAAGAAGGAAAAAGAAAAGTTGCCCCCAAACCAAAAGAATAAAAATGTACAATGATGATGATGGCATCCAATCAACTATGATACAAAACCTCCTTTCACACAAAATTTTTCCTTTTCTTCAGGAGCCCAGCTTGGGTGAACGTTTTAGTGATTAACCTACAAAAAAAAACACACCACACAACCAGAAATCATAACATTTAAAAAAAAAACATATATTTATGATCCATGACTATAAATCCAAATCCTGATCATGCAAAGTCTTAACAGAAGTAAATGACAAGATCTCATCTCACCCATATCAGAAACAGATCCAATCCTTAGAGAGATATTTGCAAATGACAAGACTATGAATGAAATCCTTGAGGGTGTTTCTATTGCTGATGAGCAAACATCAAGATAACAGCCTCACTACAACATCATCAAATGTACTTAGGATGCTTTTTTTTATAATCCTACAGTATGTTACTTGGCTTTTCAACACTTAAAACAATAGGTGGCCTTCACTTCCTGCATTGGAAGGTGCAAAGGGGGGAGAAATGTGAAAATTTCAGATAAGAAATAGTTGATTTCCGGGGATATGTACCCAAGTTTTGTCATGACAACCCATTTTCTTGAACAAGTTATTGACACAATCACTATGCAAAGTACGTGTTATGGTAGCGACACATGCAGCAAGAAGCAGGACCCATGAACATGGAACATGTCTCTATCTTGTGATAGAGGGCGGAATTCAAAAAGATAAAAGGCATGAGATAAGAAATTGATGCTTACCTAATAAAATTGTCTACGGTGAGTTAAAAACTGCTTCTAAATTATCCACGGCATCCATCGGAGAGTAGAGAACAAAATGATACCCTGCTGTGCTGCCAAGCCTCCCATTTCAACCTGCAACCTTTATCGCACCCATCTCGTCAAGCTTTGAACTCTTGTGCTGCAAATATTACATTTGGGTGCCAAATCAATATATAGAGTATAAGAGGATGGCTCACACTGTATTGCAAAACAATGACCGAAAAGTTTAAATCTTATGAGCATCAATGTGAAAGGAACAAGAAAACCCCGAGTTACCCCCTACACTATCATTACCTTACTTTTCTTGTGTCTGTGAACATCATTGAGATCTTCATCTCCATCGTGTTTTCTTTTCTGAAAGATTGGTGACAGGAAATTTAATTGCCAACAGCATCAAAAAACCAATCAACATAAAAAAAAAAAAACAGTAGAGAACCGCGTAGATCTAGTAAATGAATGAATTAGCTATCCTTCTGAGGTAAGAACTCCATTTGCAGCAGAACTGAATTCTCATACCTTTTCACGGTGTTTCTTAGAGTGATCACCAGAATCATGGTTCCCACTTTTGTCCTTCTTCCTGTCTCGGTCCTTATCTTTGCTCTTATCTTTATGCTTGTGCTTATGCTTCTTATGTTCTCTGTCTTTATCCTTATCTCTGTCCTTGTGTTTTCTATGTTTCCTCTCCTTATCTCTGGAATCAGTCTTTGATTTTGACGCAATCGTAGGGGCTCCCTTCTCTCCCTGAGAGAAAACAACAGATTCTTAAAACTTCAAAAACATATTCATATTGATCACTTAGATGCAATTCTTCTCAACCGGATATAAATTTCAGTTAACCAAAAGACCTGATATTACATGATGCATCACTGGGTCTCGTATTCAAGTTCAATAGAATGCCAATGGAATTACAAATCGACACCCATGAGAAGAGTGATTAAAGTAAATAAAAAAAGTGTCAGAAAGCAAATTCTTACAGGAGGCAATTCAACAGGAGTAGTATCATGTAGCTGAAAAGCCTCCTGGAGCTCATCTAACTCAAAAGGTTGGATACGAGCATTAGTATCTCGGCTTTGTGAAGGGTTCTGAACAAGCTGATCTAATTGCATCCCTTCTCCTCTTCTTATCTCTGTGTCTCCCACCACATTGTGAAGATAATGAGAATCTGAAAGCGACACAGGAAGTGTTCTCTTGCAAAAATATTCATGGTGATGCAATAGCTTGTATTGACTAATAAGATCTGTGGCACCACCCAATTCTCTTGGACCTGCAGCAGATCATTGGCACCAAGGTAACGGGAGAAGGGAATTCAGATACGAATATGACTCATGAAACATTTCATGAGCTTTTCCTCCAACTAGAATGGACTCAATTCCCTCGAAATACCAAAAAACTGTTGTAGAGCAGACTCAATCTAAAGATTTACTCGGTAAAATCATCACTCTATTATGCACAAGATGGAGAAGACTAAAAGTTGAGCAGGGGATGATTTTGCTGAACTTCTGCATGAAGAGTTTGATCTTTTTAGTTGGCTATTCTACTTCTCATTTTTCCCAAACCCACATCTTAATGGATTCTCACACCATATTCCTATCAGGGAGATACTTTATGCTTCGACACAAACATGAGAGAAACACGATAGTTTCTTTGACAAATTTACCTCCAAATTTCAAGCTTTCGGGTTCCATCTTGTTATTGATGATCAAAATGCTTTAACATGATCAAACCTCAGTTTACAACCAACAAAAGGAAGAGATCAAGCAACCGTTGACGCGCCAAGGGCCGACCTGAAACATGGAAAGGAAATTAAGATCAGATACTGCCCGAGTCACACAACCTTAGCACAGATGAATACAAAGGCCACACGAATTGTAAATTATCACCAACTCATTTAACACTATACACACACACACAAGCCGGTCAATGAAACTCCTTGAATCTAAGCCACTGTGACATACTGAAGAAAACTATAGAAATCTAAAATCTGAATTAGCAAAATTCCACTTCCACTGTGCATAATGAACATAAACCTGAATTATTCTCCATCGCCTTAAAGTCCCACACTTTGAGCTCGAATTAATAACACGAGCTCCGGAGACAAGAAGCCAGAGGAATTCGTGAATATTTTCTGGAAATTGTCTTAAACAAAAAGGGCCATTTCACCAATATTCGAACTATCCGAGCTGAGGCCTTTTTCGGATCGAGTCAACAAGAAAGTTTCTTCCGATTTTGTTCTTTCCGAAAAACAGTAACAATAATCATCTGACAGATAAGTAATCCCTAAACTAGACATGATCTCGAATAAACCAAAAGACAAAACGCAAATTCAAGACAAGAAAAAGATTGAGAATTTGCCGATTCCAAACCAAAAAAAAAAACCCGACAAGATAATTAGAACCCGGATTTCATTTGACCAGCACGAGAAAACCCCAAACAAAAAAAAATCGAAGCAGGAGCAACCACCGACATACACGTTTCAAAGGCCAGATCTCATTCCACAGCTCTAGTCACGGCATGTAAGCCCACACTCGCGTATAGGTGCAGAAACCCTAATTAGCGAAAAGGGGAAGATGGATTTGATCTTGGTATCCGATTTCCCGCCCGAATTTGATTCGCCGAGACCCAGAAGTGTAAGAGACGGAGATCGGAGAAGGTTCGAGAGAGAGAGAGTACTTAGGGTTTGCGAGCTGTTTGTCTCTTAACCAATGAGGGTAAAAAAAAATATTTCTTATGTTTTTTTTCCCTACTACTGTGTCAGAAATATCCGTTATTATAAATCAAGGTTGCGCGTGGGATTCACGCACCTTCACGCCAGCACAGACGAATTCTACCGCGGACACCACGGGCTGACTCCAAAGGTTTAATATATGGTGCAATTTCCAAAAATGGTGCGTTTTTCTCTTTCGAAAGTATAATATATTTAAGTATGTTTTTAAAGTTTATATAATTTTGTTTTTTTTTTCAACCAATGATTTTCTACCAAGTAAAGATAAACTTTAATTTGATTATTCTCCATTTTTAAAAAAAAAATGTATAAATATATTGATACCGTTATATATATAATTTGATTCAATTGGATTTATATATTCAAACCAAAATGATAATCTTATTTTCACTTAATCTCCTATTGAGTTGCCGAATATTTATTTATCTTTTTTATTGACCCGTTAAGTTCCATTTGATTTTTTTTAATCAAAATAAAAGAGTTAAAAATATAGCTACTAATTTTTTTTTGAATAACCGGATATTTTAGACCAAAGTTCAGATTAATTCGGGACGGGAGTCAACCATATGATTTGGATTATACGTTCTCTCTCTAAATATGAGGTTCAAATTCGGGATGAGACGAACGTTTTGTGCCCCTTTTCACCGGTTGAACTACTCAAGTTTGACTGTAGTTACTAACCTTAGCTATAGCTAAAGTATTGTTATAGGGCAAGATGATCCTTTGCCTCTGTAGAAGTTAGAGTTTGAGTCTCTTCTCATCAGATTGTATTGCAAAGGGGTCGATAACGGGTTGGACGAGTTTGTCAATGCTCCGTCGAGAATGGCTTTCGTAAGTCGTCGTCTCGATTACTTTGATAGTATTTTACAAAAATTATATAAAATGCAGAATATATATTAATCTGGACCAATCATCATGCATATAACACAAAGAATTATTCTGGAATTTAAATCATACATGAATCTATAATAGTTTGACAATTGACAGAGTGTAGGTAGAGTTCTTCTAGTCTATAATGTAAAAAATATTTTATGACAACAAATGGGTGTTATTATATTTTAGTATGTTTAGCCTAGTTAGTAACTACTATCACTATTTATAATAATAGGTTTGTGTAATTTTCAAATCCATCCATGAAGAATTAGGAAATTATACTCCATTCCATTGTATCTGCGTAATTATTTGACCCCTATATTTTTCTATATTTGCATATTCGATCATACGTAATTAGTGATTATAATCTTCTACAATTATTCATATTAAACAGCAATTATACCATATATTGATTATGACATTTAAACCAAAATATATTTGTAAGAGAATTTCTAATATATTTCGCTCGGCCCATGGTAACGAACGAGTGAAACTTGCCGATAAATCTTTCTCCAGCCGATGAAGGCAGGGATCAAAAGGTGAAAAATGGGAACTGTGTCGAAAAGATTAATCGAATTATTTCATAAAAAAAAAAAGATTAATCGAATTAGATATACAATCTTAGCAAGAATCACACGGCAGTATAGATGCTAAGAGCATCTTATATAATGTAAGCATTTTGACAATTCTTTACCGTTTGTGCGCTGATTTGGATACGAACTAGAATTGGTTTTAATATGTAAAACTTAAATATAACGGTTCATAATTGAATCGTTGTTATAAGATATATATATATATATTTAAAATAACTATTTTCAATATTCCACGGCCTTACATCTGGCATAATTATAAAGGCGTCCGTCTATGACCGTCTTATCTTATGGATCTGGGAAAAGATACACGCTCGATGAGAGAAAAATCAATGTATCTTAGTTCTACAATTTTTAGCTGAATTAGCGACCAATTTGCCTAATCAGCGATATTCCTAATTGCTTAGATTCACCGCCAAGCTTCTAATTCAGTTGCATAATTATATATA